TTTCTTGACGCCCCTCCCCCCCCTTACTTTTTCTCCCCAGTTGGGCAAGAAGTAATTTTTTGGGGCTGGGGGGCTGGCAAGCCCCCAGGAGAGCCTTTTCTGCCATGGCGCCCACCCTGTGGAACATCATTCCACCTGAAATTAGATTGGCCCTGGGCCTGTTGGCCTTTCATAACCTGAAAACTTGGTTTTCTGCCGGGCCCTGGATATGTGAGGGAGCCCATCTCTTGGCTTTGCTGATGGTTGTTCCTTACGGTGCTCGGCTGTGATGTGTTTTTATTTTTGTATTTTTATATTGTGTATTTTTATGTATTTTATTGTAAGCCGCCTAGAATCTCATATGTGAGATGGGTGGCTATAGAAATGGAATAAATACGTAAATAAATAAGCTCCGCCTCTTTCATATGTGCAGGTGACATCATGGTGCACATGCAAAAGGGGTGGAGCTTATGCCATGATGCTGCTTTTGTCATTCGTCCTCTCTTGGGATGCTCCTGAGTTTCCACGGATTCAAAAATAAAGGTGCACACTGTGTGGGAGGAAATTAAGTCTATAGAGAAAGGCAATGACAACTCAGATAAGAGATCATGGCCGTTTCTGTGATATCAGAAGAGCTGAAAGAATTGTTGTTCCAGGGTAAGGTGCCGCTGTGAAAGCTGCATATTATGAAAGAGTGACAGAAGGAAGATAAATGGCTTCAAATGAGAGATTTGGAAATTGGGATTAAAAGCACCACCAACTTGCCCGAAGAACCAATCAGTCAATTCTGGATCAAATCCAGATTGATCGCTTCCTTGCCTTCACCAAGCAGAAACTCACATACTTTGGGCAGGAAAACAAGAACTAGGCATGGCAAGGCTGAGGGAGGTAAAAGAGGAAGGCAACAGATAAAATGGATGAATGGGATCTACCAGATTCATTCAGAAGGGGTGTAATCTCAGCAGATTGCAGAGCAAAGAATCCTAATCTTATTGGATTGGCAAAATGCTTTGCAAGGCCAAGGGAAGAAAAAGGGAAAGATAAATGAAAAAGTGGAGGGATGCGATCCGAGATAAAACATCCTCGGGAGACCTACAAATTATTACTAAATTCAGGTCGAAATGGAAAGCATTTGAACACCTGACAATCAACCCACCTCAAGGTCACCTAATTAATTATATCTCCTTCAAGTCAATTTGAAAACTGGCAACTTCATGGCCACGCAGGTTTGTTGTTGTTGTTTTGGCAGGCTTATGGAAGTGGTTGGTCGTCCCTTTTTTCCTCCTCAGACTAGCCTGCGCTCCCAGGATCGATCCCCTTGTGGTCTCCCATCCCAGGGCTAAGCATCTGAGTCCAGAGTCGGTAGACTGCTGCGCACCCTGTGATCTCCTGGTAGTCCTCCATCCAAGGAAAAGCAAGGCCTCCCAGGCCAGCCCGATCATAGGAACCGATTTTCCCACGCCCCTCCAGCCCAGCCTTGCCCCCCACAGCTCACCTTGGGGGACGTCCCGGAGGCCCCAGCGCTCCACCGCGCGCCATAAGCGCTCCCCTGCCGCCATTGCCGCTGCCGCCGCCGGCGCGCGCGGCTCGATCCCCGCCGCTGCCTTCGAACCGGCCAATTCCGGCGCTCGCTCCCCGTAAGCCAATCCCCGCCGGCCGGGGGACGCC